TGCTAATCACGCGTGAAATTATGCGCAGTAGGAATGTGCAATGCAATATGGGGAATAACCTTAAGAGGTTGAAATCTTGTAGAGCTGATACAATTTGGTTACAGCATGTACAATGTATATTAATTCCTTTATCAAACAATTTGCAGCATATTATTTTGTGCGTAAGGTTATGCATTGTTTTGTATCATAGATTGCAGAGCAGAGTGATCGATACAGAAAACTGGTTTTTAAAGATAAAATAGTATGGAAGGTGAGTCTTTTTCCATTACCAGAACAATGAAGGTTGAAGGAAGAGAAACAGAAAGTACATCAATTTGTAAAATACTGTAAAGTCAAGACTAAGTTATAACTTATTGAATTTTTCGATAACTGCGAAATTATAAATTACTTTTGTCTCTAAATTATACAATAACATGTATTTATCATCATGCAGGCTCTGGTAAAATGGTTTCAAACACCAATAGTTACTGCAAATGACAGTAACATGGCAGCAATGTGCATGAAGATCGTCGGCAAGTTGTGCCTGAGTGAGGAGCTGAGCTGGCAAATGATTGACAAGAATGGACTCATGACATACCTGGAGGATGGAGGTTTGCTCTATTCGACTTTTAACTTGTCACCTTTGCAGTGACATCCTTGTACATACATGTACAAATTATACTTTTTACTAGGTGAACTTATCAACTGGCAGATGTCTAATATTTCACTCAGTTGCTAAACACATTGTCTGTAATTGAAAGGCCGCATGCAAGAACGTCCCCTAGATTTTTTGGCCATTTTGAAAGTGCTCAAACATAGCTGAATTTTGGCATGTAGGCTTCGTTTTACCTGAGAAACATTGCTCTGAAATTGTTTTTGCTTGGGTGCTCTTCGTTCTTGAGAAATAACGTATGCCAAAACTCAGTTTTCCAAGCGGCATCTTTTGGAGATCTTTTGTTGAACAAAAACAAAAGAAACCTTCTTACACTGTATTATTTTGTTGAACAGCAAACAGGCAGACTGTTTATAGTGTATTCCACTGAATCTTAGCTGTCTTAAAGTCAAAGTAAAATAGTATATAGAGTGGAAATCTGGGAACAGATTGTTTACATTGGTTATTGTGACGTGAGCACAACACATGAATCGATGGAGCGTCAAACAAAATACCATTGAACAAAAAAGAGATGTGCTGCATTAGAGCTCTGTCAACTAATATCTTAAGCATTNCCTAATAAGCAAGAGGCATGATGACCTAATGCTTAGTACGTCTGGGTTCAGGCCCTGGCCTCACTCATTGCTGTAGTTCGGGCTCCTTGATGCAGATACATGTATGCACCCTCTTTTGAGCTTGCAAGATAAAATGCATGTAAGCTCTTTTCTGAGAAATGGTACAAGTACTGTTAAGGTGACCCACATCTTTTCTCTAAGTGGAGTAAAAACTGACCAAGGGGTAGTGAAAGCCCAACCAAAAAGTAAGACTAACCTATGTACATGTATGTATGTGAGAATACATACATACTGTAAGAACTGGGAATCACTAGATGTAGCTTTTTTTTTTTCTATACAGTACATTTGTCTAATAATGGGCCATTGAATGCATATCTGGAGGTGATATTGCAACTGTCCACTCATGATGGTCGATGCCGAAACAAGATATTGGAAAGTAAGGTGAGATTCCAATAATCAACTATGTAAACATGGAAAGGTTAACTATTAAAAAAGTCATGAAACTATTAAATATGCAGAGTACAATAGACAGTATAAACTGCACTTGTAATTGTAGTATTCTGTTGTCATTGGTATTAATGAAATGTTGTTATATTTTATTACAGGAAATCCTGCAGACACTTGCAAGGTACATGTTCTCTTATCACAAAGAGGTAAACCAGGTTTCTTACATTGATATTAGATATTATATTTACTGTTTTAGATAATGTAACCCAACATTGACTGTTTACCTTAATTCTTAGTAGGTACATGTAATTAAACTCCCAAATAAGTTAAGGTTGCCCTATGCATGTACCATGTACCTTAGTTAATATAGAATCAGTGAACCTCAATACAATTTTTTAAATTACAATACATGTATGTAGCTTCTGGTTTCTTGCTCATCCTCTAACCTGGTTGAATTGGAATTTGGAAATGTTAGTTTTTGTGAAGGGAGGAAAACCAGAGAACATTGAGAAAATCCCTTGTAGCAAGGCAAGAGCCAACAACAAACTCAACCAACATCTTGTACATGTATGGCACCAGGCCTGAATTGATCCTGGGCCGCATTGGTGGGAGGCGAGTGCTCTCACCACTGCACTGTCCCTGCTCCACAAACATTCTCTGATTACAACTTTGTAGGGAAAAAAATGTCAGATCAAAGAAATATATTTTTTCGAAAATAAAAATGGAAATTACAATCCCCATTTAATATGTTTGGAGTTTTGTTTAAATCTGTGATGTNCTCTTTTTCCATCCATTGTTATTGATAACTTTTCTTACTTCTAACAGTTAGTCAATTTTAGTCCTTTTTTCTGTGCTACAGATTCAAGGTCCAACGTTACGTGCCATCGCAAACCTGGCAGAGTCTGAAGACAAGGCTAAGAACTTGATAAAGTGTGGCATTACTCCCAAGAGTACCACGTTGGTCATCACATGTCATCAGGTAGAGTTTTTCATTTGTCACAACCATACATGTATACATTGTACCAGAAACCATAGTGTTTCTGCTTGAAACAAGCACTTGGCTGGAGTGCCTCTTAAAATATCCATAATGATGTATTAAAAATTGATTTACATGTGTGTGACATAGTGTTTTTAAAATATTTTTAGTGACCTTCTGGAGTACAAAAAATATTCAATTGTTATTGTTGTTTTATCTCCCAGCAACCAGCTATTAGTCTTGCTCAGAAGATAGAGAAAGTTCTCAAAAGAACTTGTGAAAAGTGAGTAATGACAAGGATTGTAGAATGTTTGTAACAACTCCCAGGAACATTTACATTGTACATTTTGCCATGTTTAGCTTTAAATGTCTAGTTACTTACCCGGTAAGTTCTAGCACTCAGTCTGCATACAAGCCAAGTGGCGCATCAGGCCAGTGCTTATCTCCAGTTTCCATGTAGCATTACCCAACTAGGAGTATTTCTACTACCCCCTGGATGGGATGCTAGTCCATCACAGGGTCAATGTCAGCATTAACTGCATTATACACCTGTGTGGAGTGAGGCTCTGCGAGAGTAAAGTGTATAAAGTGTCCAAGAATACAACACGATGTCCCTGGCCAGGGCTCAAACCCTGACCAATTGATCCGGAGTCGAGCTCACTTACCATGAGGCCACTGCACCTCCCCTATTTGTAGTACTGCATTAGTCATCATGTGTGGGGCCCGATGCCTATTGTTCAGTGCACTAAACTCTGGATTGGGCAATCCGTGTTCAAGCGCTGGTAGGGGTCACTATTTTTAAAGCAAGTGTTTTTGGACAAGGCAATTATTTACTCTCACAGTGCCTCTCTTCACCAAGGTGCATACAGTCAAATATATTAATTTTTTGCCACCTTTTACTGTAATCCAGAGAATGGAGAGAGGAAGACATCGCATTTGGAAAAGAGCGTTTAGATTTCTTTCAATGCCGAAATGAAGACACTGCGCAGAATCTAAAAGATGAAGGCAACAAAAAATTCAAGTTAGGCTTGTTTAACGATGCAGCGAGACTTTACACAATAGCATTAAAGTTTGTGCCTCACTGTTTGGAGGTCAGCAAGGCAAGAAAAGATGGGAGTCGTTGGTAAGGAAGATTTTATCGTTGTCAAGCTTTGTGTAGATGTAGATAGAAATAAATCAGTTTTCTGATTTATGATTGTAATTTGTACTAATTTATTTTAAGTTTGCACTTCTTCTGAGTCTTTCTCACGAGACGAGAGTTGTGCACCCCACTGTGGTGGACTTACTATTTGTAGAATGCACTCACTTTTACTAGTAAAGAGAGTGGGATCTTCTGTAAAAGAGCACTATTTGGGGGGATTTTACTGCATATTGTATTTGGTCAAAACCGTACTAAAGTTTTTGAGTATGTACCTTTGCTGATACTTAAATTTAGAACACAGAGGTGAAGATATAAATTAATACGTGTAATGTTTAGTTTGCTGGAACGTCTTTCATTTTGAAGTCTTGAAAAGCCTGTGCATTTGTAGGCATGATTGCATCCTTTTAGTGCACTAATGCAAGTGAACAGAAAGATCATATATTACAACTGCGGAGAAACTGATGGAGACATTATCTAGTGGACTAATGTAGCAATTTTCATCAAAACCAGACCATTATTTTTTTCCATTATTTTCAATTTGAGTTTTCAAAGTTCCCGTTAAACACCATTTCGTCTTCCCTGCAGGTGGGTGTTACCAGCTGTGTTGTATAGTAACCGTGCGCAATGCCACCTAAACAACTCCGATTGGGACAGCGCCCTGCGTGACTGCAATGAGGCCATGGCAAGATGCCTTGAAGGTTTGTTAAGAATCTTTGATGATTTCAGAGCCAATTTTTCAAATCTAAGGGGGCATTAAAATAGTAATTTGCTGAGGTAAATGGGGAAAACATGAAGGCATAGTGGTTGCTGGACAGCGGCTCTTGTCCCAGTCCTACATGTAGCTGGGGTCACAATGTTGTGTTCTGTAGTTTGCTCTGTCAATTTTACCATCCACTAAAGATTACATACATGTATGGTTAGGAGCAGACTGTTAAAGAAATTTTACAAAAAAGATTTGGCAGGGGGGCCGGGGGGGGTGGGGGACTGGGCGCTGTAGCCTGCGATGGACTAGCACCTCATCCAGGGTTAGTAGCAATGTTCCTAGTCGCCCTTTGCTACGGAAACTAGGATAAGTTCTGGCTGTTTGGATCAGCTTCCTCTGAATGCGACTTAACCTTTACCTTACCTTACATGACATGCGGCGTAGAAAAATGCATAAGATGTGATTATACACCGTAAAGAAACACAAGAGCAAAGTTGAGAAACATCTCTTTCACAATGGTTGAATGGTGCCCATTTGATAACCTGTTTTTGATATTTCGCATTTTATTTTTCAGACAATGAAGAGTCGGACAAAATACTTGTAAAAACAATGTTCCGGCGTTCCAAGGCGTTCACGGAGTTAGGATACCACTTCAGAGCACTGAATGATATCTCGTACTGTCTAAGAAACCAGGCAGCTCAGGTACACCAGACGCCTGGTGTGAATAATTTTCAGTCTTATTACTGGGAGGTAAGAACTAGTTTAGGCTTATATGCAGTTATTTGTCCGTTGGTAAAGTCGTCTTAGTTCTCGTGGCAATGTCCACGTTCGTTTTTTTCCGATTCAAACATAATTTTCCCGCCCTTTTCGACCGCGGTGTCCCATGTACCAGCTTTTCCCGCCATTCAAGCGTAATGAAACTTTCCCACTCTTTTAACCGGAGTCTGTTGCTATTGACTAGAGCCAACTTGAGCAAAGCGTGTGTACGTACATGTATGGCGCTTAAGTGTACAGTAGCTGTTCATTTAAGTGCTCAGAAGAGATTAGAAACGTAGAGAAGTGATGTGTTACTTTGCTTTTTCGCGAAGCTATTTTCGACCTCCACCTTTCCTGAGTCGTGTTAACGTATGAACCTCTGTTTCTCGAAAGAGCTTTAGTAGCGGTAAATAATGATTGTCTTTAAAAATTACAGATCGCGGTCAAATACCGTAGCACGTGTGGCATGGAGCCGATCCGTCGGTGTGGCAACTGCCTTGGCGGAGAAGGAGAAAAGTTAAAAAGATGCGGTAACTGTGAGGAGGCATACTGCAGCCGTGAGTGTCAAGTGTTGGCCTGGGAACTAGGTCATAAGAACCTCTGCAAAAAATGAAAATAGTTCTAAGTTGACATTTTAAGATTTAAGTTGAAGTTTTGAGTTGTAAGTTGAAATTTCTTCTTATAGGTTGAAATTTTAAGGTTACGGTATATTTTCTTGGATCGATTTTTGTTTGAAAATTAAATGCACTATCTTTGATTACCAAAAATAATGTTATTTTGGCCGTCAGTAGCGGAAAAAAGTCATTCATATTCTCTTTTCTTCCATCGGGTGGAGTTTTATAGAAAGTTCTTAATTGGCTTAACACAGATAATTTTATTTGGTTTTTGCAACATTTCCTTTGAGTACCATTCTTAGTTCTGTAAGCTTTTAATGATATAACTCTTTATAATGCCCTTCCCTTTTAAAGCGCTCAAGAGCGGCGTTTTTGTGGAACGCATCCGGGAATCTTGACCGTAACCTTAATCAGCATAAGAGACCTACATTGCTGTCTCTTACCAAGAATATCCTGCGATCAGGTGTCCTGACCGCAGCAAGAAGATCAAGTCGGTTATAAAATTTAGTAAGCAAAAATGTTGTTTAAAGAGGACAAAACTGAAGAACTAGTGTTACGATTGCTAACAGCTTTGAAAAATAGTCGTTTTAGGCCCAGGTCTAAGCGTCGAACTTCGCATGAGACGAACTAAACTTAGCGAATTAAGTTCCATGATAAGTTCGACGTTTGACTCAACTGAGTTCGTTCGACTGAATTGAGATCGACCGATGGAACTTGTTGGGTGATGTAAATTCGAATTAAGTTCGACGCTTGACCGAACGGTCGAGCTTTACCCGTTTAGATCGACTCAAGTTGCAACTTACAGTTCATCTCGTGTGAAGTTCTACGCTTGACCTGGGCCTTAGAGGATAAGAAGGAGCAGAGTAAACAATGAGTTAGTGTTCATTGTAGCTTTGCAGTTATTGTTTTGCGCGATACAATTCACTCAGCACAATCTTGACGAGGACTTGTTGGATGGACCGTGACAAATAGCAAACAGTCGTTTGACGGTATAGAGTCGGTATAACGCGATAGAAACCAAGAGCAAAGAGTGTGTTTTTAGAACAAATCAGTGGTTTTTAATAATCGTTTACACGTAGATCGGTCAAGATGATTGCAGATTATAGATGAGATGACAAACACGAGTACGCTCGCACTACTGCACAGTCTAGGTTTCTGTTGTCTGATTCATGTCCAAACGCCAGTTTGGAATTGCGACCTCGATTGAAATCGCGCGTATGATTTGAGATGATTAACAGCCAATCAGGGGTGCAAAGCTGTGTTTCCTGTTGTCGCATCCAACAGATGCGTGAGGTATAATTGTTTCACTAAAAAAAAGAGCAGCAATGACAAAAAATACCATGACATATCAGTTAATATTGCTAATTGGCAATTTTTTCGTTATAAATTTGGCCAGATTCTCGTTGTTTAAAGTCAGCTAAGTTGCAGATTTTAATGTTGCATAGAGTATATCTCGCTTTGAACATTGTTGTCTCGACTTCCATTTGGAAGTGGAATGTTTCACACCATCTCCAGTCGGGAAAGATTTTTCAAAACCACCGAGAGATTGTAGGCCAGTAAGGTATCACAAATGTATTTAAAACGGGTGTGAATGGCAGGATGGGTTTTCACAGAGCGTCTAATTCGTTGAAGATTTCACGTGAATGATGTAAGTGTTAAAGGCATTTACACTACCCAGATGCAGGTGAAACAAGTTTTGTTTTGTAAGTGATAACTGGAGAAAGCATGGGTGTATTTTAGTATTACTATTTTTGTCTCTATTTGTGGTGTAAAATGTAGAGATTTCAAACGTAAAACTGCCTTGTAATTTGCACTGCGTAACTAAACGATAAAGTAGCTGATATAGAAAATAGGCAAGGGTTAATATTGAGGAATGTCTCGACGAAGAACAAGATCAGTGTACTCGGAAAGAATGCTACGACTCCCATCTTAAAGGAGCCACGTCACGGTTTGC